GGGGGGCGGTGGGCAGAGCTGGGCCCGATCCATCACCCGGAGGAGCTGGGTGCCACCCAGCAGTGGGTTGGAGAAGGGCTGGGCCGGATGTGAGTCGTCAGCCGACGCGTAGCGCAGGATGGACTCCATCAGCAGGAGCTCATTGGTCTTCTTCTCCACGAGACCTGGGTGGGAGGGAGAGCGCCTTGCACCGGGCCCCTGCCCAAATCCACCCCCGGCTGTTTGCTGAGCAGGGGGCCATTGGGCTCCCCAAGGCAGTGCCGTTGGGCAGCCTGCCGCCCCGGGGGCGAGGGCGCACACCCAGAGCCAAGCTGAGGGCTTGGGAGCCCACTGGGATGTTTACACAGCCAGGTTAGCCCCTGAATTTGATGGGAATTTGGCACCCCAAAATTCACGTTAGGGACACGCATGCATGATGGGGCAGAGTTAAAAAAAAACCATAGAACCATAGAACCATAGAACGTTTAGGGTTGGAAGGGACCACTAGTTGTTTACACAGCCAGGTTAGCCCCTGAATTTGATGGGAATTTGGCACCCCAAAATTCACGTTAGGGACACGCATGCATGATGGGGCAGAGTTAAAAAAAAACCAGCTCAATTGAAGCATAGTTCAAGGAGGTGATGGACATACTAGGTCTGGACCATGTGGCGGGGAAAGACAGACAGCCCTGACCCACCGAAAAACTGCATCAGGTTGAGATCCGTGACCTTCCCATTTTCTCCGAGCTGCTTCATTATCTTTGTAGCATCGCAGCTGGTGTCTCTGAACAAGGCCTCCATGCCAGATCTGAGCTGGCCCAGGATTTTGCTGCTCACTTTGCATCTGTCTTCATACCAGTTGGCTTCAGCAGTGGTTTCCATTAGTTTTTCCTATCAGCAAAGGTTTTGCTAGGTGTCACACCCGTCCTCTGCTCTCCCCCACCCCACCCCAGTGCTGGCCAGTTCCAGGCTGGACGCTGGAGACATCCTAGGAGAGGCTGTGGGATGCTCCCATCCCTACAGGGGAAAGGCTCTATGAAGGGGGTCCCAAGCTTGATGAAGCCCCAGGCCCTGGAGGACCAGGGCTGGCAGGAGCCCTGCAGTCACCCCCTCACCATGCACTGGGAGGCAGGGCTGCCAACGCCGACGCAGGACCCTTTTCTGCCCACGCCTCTCCAGCTGTTGGCCAGAGCAGCGTTGACAGAACCGGACTCCCTAGGACATGTGCCAGGACCGTCAGGGGTCTGCTGCCCTGGGCTGCCATACCTCCAGCTCCTGCAGGACGTGAAAGCTGCTGTTCTCTGTGTACTCCTCGTCCATCATGAGGGTCGTGATTTCATTCTGTGTAAACACAAGTGCATGGAGGGGGTACTGGCTGAATGCCCACCAGTGGTGCCTAACAGGGGGTTGGGGACCATCCTGCCACCCTGGGAGCAGGGACACCCCACTTGACCCCTCTGGGGACCACCATCCCCAGGCCAGGAGGGCAGGTGATGGCCCCACAACAGGCAGCACTTCTCCAGCCCCACACACGGCCGAGGCAGCTCTTGGCCCTCCTGGGTACTGCAATATTTTTGCTGGGTACACGGTGGCAGCATTGAGACGCTTTTAGCTCCGAGAACCCAGCGTTCTCTATTGGAGTTGTATTTTTGGCTACCCCTTTGCATTCCCCTAATCCCACCCGTGTCGATGGCTGTGAGCTGGGCTCTGGTGTGGGCAGTGATGCTGGACACATGGGAGAGGAAAAACCCACCCCAGCCCAAAAAGCACCAGCTGAGAAAGGGGAGATGTGGAGACCCTGGAGCAGACCTGGAGGTCCTTGATCCTCTGCTGTATCTTCTCCATCTCGTTGTTCAGCTCGGTGGCGTAGGTGAAGCAGGCAAAGTTCTTCTCCTCCTTTTCGATGAAGCCGTTCACCAGCCGGTCAAAATCCCCATCCTCCGCCAGCTCCAGCAGGCGCTTGTAAGCCACCTCCCGGCTTTCAAAGCTCTCCCCTTGGCTCCGCTTCGCCCTCTGGACTGCCTTCAAGGCTGAGGGAAAGACAGAGAGCCTGGGCTGTGCGTGTCCCTGCAGGCTGCCCTTTGCAGAGCCTTCCCCTGCACGGGCTGTGGGGTTTGGCATGGTGCTCGGGGCAGGGGGAAGCAGTGCTGGAAAGGCAGAGGATTTCTTTATTTCACC